CAAAATAACTTCATGCATCAACCATGCATATAACAAATTCCAAATCTCTCTATGCACACCTTCACTCACTCAGTCCACCGGACAAGCCTCAATTCAACCAAGTTTCGGGACCAACCACGAGGTCCGCATCATACACGATAAAACCACCTAAGTGGTGTCTAAGTCGTGGCTGCACCTAGGCGCTATCCCAGGCTGCCTACGTACCCTACTAAGGGATCAAGCCACACGTAGCTCTTTCCTATCAATCCCGGCTCCTAATATCAATCAACCATTCCATCCATATAAATTCATACATTCTACGGTTTCATCCATCTCAACACACCAAACACAATCACATAGCTCCCCTCATACGACGGGACGCACCCGGCCTCGTATGGGGTCTGTCTACACGCCGGCTAATCCAAAGACGCGTGCGACCTCACACTGGGCCTGGCTACATTCTCACCAGCCATCATACCATCATATCTCCCACTCATACGTCGGGACGTACCCGGCCACGTACGGGGTCTGTCAACACGCCGGCTAACCCAAAGACGCGTGCGACCTCACACTGGGCCTGGCTACATTCTCACCAGCCCTCACACAATCATATCTCCCACTCATACGTCGGGACGCACCCGGCCACGTACGGGGTCTGTCAACACGCCGGCTAACCCAAAGACGCGTGCGACCTCACACTGGGCCTGGCTACATTCTCACCAGCCCTCACACAACCATAACTCCCACTCATACGTCGGGACGCACCCGGCCACGTACGGGGTCTGTCAACACGCCGGCTAACCCAAAGACGCGTGCGACCTCACACTGGGCCTGGCTACATTCTCACCAGCCCTCACACAACCATAACTCCCACTCATACGTCGGGACGCACCCGGCCACGTACGGGGTCTGTCAACACGCCGGCTAACCCAAAGACGCGTGCGACCTCACACTGGGCCTGGCTACATTCTCACCAGCCCTCACACAATCATAACTCCCACTCATACGTCGGGACGCACCCGGCCACGTACGGGGTCTGTCAACACGCCGGCTAACCCAAAGACGCGTGCGACCTCACACTGGGCCTGGCTACATTCTCACCAGCCCTCACACAACCATAACTCCCACTCATACGTCGGGACGTACCCGGCCACGTACGGGGTCTGTCAACACGCCGGCTAACCCAAAGACGCGTGCGACCTCACACTGGGCCTGGCTACATTCTCACCAGCCCTCACACAATCATATCTCCCACTCATACGTCGGGACGCACCCGGCCACGTACGGGGTCTGTCAACACGCCGGCTAACCCAAAGACGCGTGCGACCTCACACTATCACTTGGGCCTGAGCATAATCACAATATGAGGGGTACGTGGGGTAGTGCGTATAGCACTGTAAACTAATATTCAATCTCCTTATATATCATTATACCTCCATACAATCAATTAAATATAACATATAATTTCTAATCATACAAACACCTTAACAAACAACTAGCATCCGATAATCCCCCATAATCCCCATGACATCAGGACCTGTCACCACGGTCATTTTAATCTTCCTAGGAATGTAATACTACCTAGGAAGTCCCACAGACAAACCAGGGTCAAACTACCCAACCTTGGTCAAACGGGCCCGCGGGGCCCACGACCTCCAATTTCCGATCCGAAAGTTCCTATAGGTTCTACAAGCTCTAGGATGCACGTCCTGCAAGTTTGGTCCAGATCGGACGGTCGGATCGCTCACGATCGCACGATCGGACGGTTACTAAAACCCTAACCCCAGGGTTGGCATTTCTGGAGTATCCGGGACTCCGTTTTACGATCCGTCGAATCCTACACGATCCTGGTAATACCTAGATCAACATATTATAATATCAGGACCATCCAACGGTCCAAACCCAGCGAACCCGGAAAACACGCGATATGCGATATCCGTTCGGGACTCTAACAATATCCAAATTGAGATCCGAGCACACCTACGCGCTCGTGACAACCTGAGGATCACATTGGGACAAAAATGCCCCTCAGCTACAGTGCCCACGCGCCGCCACACGCGCCGGCAGCGCGTGGGTGTCCAAAGCGATACCCATCGCCGGAAAACTTCCAAATCGTGAGCCCAGACTCCTACCCTAGGTAATACACCTAATTTGGAGTCACTTTTGTTCTTGGACGTACCCCAAAAATTGACCGGAAGTGGCCGGAATCTCATCCCGAAATCCGGCCGAACCCTAACTCGAAAATCAGATAATCTAGACTCAAAATCGATGCAATCCTACCCAACCATCAGCTAGATCATGCAGAAGGGATGAATTTCCATACCTTGATCGCCAAAAATGGCGGCCGGACGACGGAGAACGAAGCCGGCGAATTTTCTGTCAAAACCGGAGCTTTTCTCCTCGTTTTCCGCGAAACCACGGCGGCTGGCGACGGGACCTGGCCGGGGTAGGAAGAGGACGGCGGCCCGGTCATTTTGGTACCGGCCCCGTCAACTTTGGTGGCCGGACGAGAGCACGGCCGGCCAAAACGTGGCCGGCTGTTCCAATCGTCGCGCGAGAGGAGAGAGAGACGCGCCGGAGGAGAGAGAGAGAGTGTCTGAGAGACGGGGGCAATTCCGTCTTTTAACCAAAATCCCACTTCACAATATTTACGATTTTGCCACTGAGGGTATTTAGATCGTATCTCTCTCGTTACAACTCCGATTCGAGCCCACTACGTGTCTACGAACTCATCTCGCCGTGCCCTACGCAACGGTACCTCTGGAATTCTCAAATTCCTTTCGGGTAAGAAAATGACTAAAATACCCCTATCCCACTGGTAAATTCTTAATTTCGCTCAAATTAATTAAAATAGGGGATAAATTTGGAGTCGGGGTGTTACAACACAACAAGAAGAAATGACTTTCCACACTTGCTCGAACAGCTTCCCTTCAAGGCCACACCTGAATGCCTTTTGATAATTTCTGATTCAAATTCAGCTTCCATGCTGGTTTTAGCCACGTTATTGTGACTTCTTGTATGAAGATACTTTCTGAAGAACCAAACACTTTGAGACATATTATTCTCTTCATCCATTGATCTTATGCTGGATGTCTCTTTGCAGGTCATCTGGGGTCCTTGTAACTTTTTCAAAACCAGAACTATTTTATTTTCGTCTTCTCCATACAGTTCTTGGTCTGTTTTCATGAAGAAGTCCTTTGGTATAATTGGAGTGCTACAAGCCATGATATATATATATATGTTGCTCTCTCCCAACTTATTCCCAAGAAGTGAACAGAAGTCATCAAACATATGTATACATATAGCCCCATATAAAGAAAAACAAAATTGCTGAACATCGAACCCCCATATAAAGGAAATGAAAATTTATATATATATATATAGCCAAATTCCCATCATCCCATGACTAGCACAAAACTGAAATGGTATACAAGAAACCCCTCAAATATTACTCTGTGTCGAGGACAAAGATTGGTTGTTTGAAGCAGAACAGGTTCAAGGTGACTTAACCTGCATGGTGCTCATTGACAGTTTGGCAGCATCCACAGGGACGCAAGTCCCTGACAATATACTGCCCCAAGAGTTGTGCATAACGTCATTACAATAGACAGAGGAACATCCCCTTGAGCAATTAAGGTCACCTGAAAGGCAATTTCATAAAAAGCATTGAATGGAGTTGAATAAATGGCCTAGGCGGGCGCTAGGCGGCGGCTAGGCGGGCTAGGCGGGGCTAGGCGGCGGATAGGCGGGCTAGGTGCTCTAGGCGGGCGCTGGAGAGAGAGAGAGAGAGAGAGAAACGAGGACGACGACGGTGCTATGAGGCGAGAGAGAGAGAGAGAAACGAGGATGACGATGGTGCTATGTTAGGGTTTAGAAAACGGCCGCGCGGCTATACTATTTATAAAAATAAAAAATAAAAATAAAAAAGACCTTAGTAAAGCAGGTCGGCTATAATGTTTTTAAAATCCAGAGTATAGCGGCTATACTATTTGTTTTTTTTAATTTAAAAAAGGGCACGTATATCGCCCAATCAAAAGGGTATAGCCGACCGGCTATACTATTTTTTATATTAAAAAACCATTCTATTTGCATTAGTTTATACTTTATAGATATTAATTTGCTAGTTTTGATATATATACCTTATAGATTTAATTTTTTTAATATATATTATTTTATTCAATGGTATGTGAAAATTGTGTGCATAATACATGAATTTTATGTGTATTATTGAAAATTTTGTACAAAATCTAGTGTATTAAACATGAAAATACATACAGACTTGTAAAATACGAGTACTAAACATGGAAATGCTAAATTTTTTACACGGCTAATGACTTTGAAAAAGTAAAAACTCAAAAGGGTACAATAGAGACTCGTGTGAAGGCCTAATAATAATGGAAAATGCTCTAAGCTATCGATAAACAAAAATCTGGGAAAAAAGATAATAGTATCCATGTAAAGAGTATAGCCACGGAGCTATACTATTTATAAAATACAAAATAGACGGTTTGGATTAGTGAAATACAATCCGGAGTATCTACAAAATAGATAGTTTGAATTAGTGAAATACAATCTAAAGTGGGCCCTACAAGGGGTGTCCCTCAAATATGAGGGATCCCTAAATGGAAGCTCTCTGTATATATATCAGTCCCCTTCTATTGAGAGATCCCTCAAATAATTTTATTTAAAGGACCTTTAGGGTACCCTACAAATTTTTATTTTTATTTTCCAATATCCAAACAGTCTATTTTTTAGGTCTTCATTCATAGATCATCCTTACAAAAAAATTAGACAAATCGGAAACCGTTTCGACATCCAATTGTGTCCTACAAAATCAATGAACACGGTGCTTCAAGAAAGTATTAAAAGTTCAATAACTCAATTGAATGATCAAATGATATCGGATTCAAGTGATTTTTTGTAGAGATGATCTTTGAATGAGTATCTACAAAGTAAACTCAGAGGAGTATCGAAAAGTATCATTGTCAAGAGCAAAAAGGTTTTGGTTCAATTGGGACAGTCTAGCGAGCCATTATGGAGCCTACAATGACAAGGGGTTTGACCGGTGAGTTTTCACTGGCATGAGGCAAAATCGCTTGAGCCTACAATGACAATATCTATGGGAATCAATACAGCCGATAATTTTATATAATTATTCAGAATTTGGTAAGATATAACATTATAATAAATTGTTTGAGAAAATTATTTTCAGGAAAAAGAAGTTGAACAGTCAAATATGGCAGTCACAACATAGATATCATGGATTTCAAGCTTTGGGCACACACTATGCCAAAAAAGGCCTTTAGCAACGGATAGCAACGAATAAAATATGTTGCCTATTCCCCCAAAATACAGTGGTATATTCAAGCCTGTTGCCTATTGCTATTATCTGTGGCCTTTTTATACTTACAACGTCAGATATTTAGTAAACTCCGATGCGTAAAGGATTTCCGTGTGCCAATTGTATTCAACATATCAACACCTGTAAGCTGTAGAAAACAGACCATATATTCACTGAAATTTATATACAAAAGCTTAGGAAATAATCATAGAAACAGCTCCATCAGATATTAATCACATTAGCATATCGTAAAATCAGTTCCACAATATCTTGAGCAACGAACTACCGCTCAGAAATTTTTTAACCTTCAAAAGGCAATGAACTGTTGGGCATAGTTTGGATGATAGTCCCCATTAAACGTGTCACAGCATAATATACTATTGAAATTGGATGCAGTAATAGTATTTATTTGACTTTATAGGAATGCCATCCATGATGAAATCATAAAATGAGTAGCTAAATTACAAGCCAACAAAATTTCTTTTTCCTCAATAAGTTAAAAGGCACCAAGTACTGACAGACAAATCTTATAAGACATGAATCAAATTGGCATGTAAGTGCAGACAGATAAGCAGAATTTTTTTTCTTGCTTGGACAATCTATAATGAGAAGGGAAGGTAGTAGATCCAGCAACAAATAACACTCTCAAACCAATTGAGGACGACAAATTTCTATTACTAACATGTGAGACAATTCAAATACCTCGAGATTTGCTCTAAGTTCTTTATGTTTCTCTATTGAATCTTGTCCACCAGAAAATGCATGCCTGTTTATCTGCACATGCACACAAATTCTTTATTTTGTTAATCCTGAAGAATTTTTGGACCATTTGGACTGTGTGATTTCAGGTAGAAAAATTTGGCACTGTGAAACTACGGTTTGGTGGTGTGGGAAAGCTAAGACAAGAGTAGATGATGGTTTCGGAAAAGGAAGACAGCTATTTGAAGAAATGGAGAAGCATGTTTTTCACTGAAAGTTTAAAAGGTTACAATTTGAAACCTTGCATCAATTAAAGACTTTGGCCCTAGAATAAGAGAACATCGATAATGATTGTGCAAGAGTCTCAGTAAATAGAAAGGTTGTACAAATAAACCCAAAGCAACAGCAAACGCAAACCTTGTTCTTAATTTCCTTTGCAGAATCAGTTACATAAATGGCAGAATTTGGATCACTGGGTTAGTGAGGATAAATAAACAAAACAGTACCCGCATTTTCTCTTGCAGCCTTTTGGGATCGAACTGCTCCCCTTCTGAGAAAATATCTAGTGAAGCCATTGATGCCATGGCTAGCTGGCCAAATATATTCCTCAAAAAGCTCACTACCAAAAAGCACAGCGAAGATTGCTGCAGGATCAATAATTGAGTCGCTGAAAGAAAGGGAACCATTCAAAAAATGTCAGAAACACGCAACTATGTGTTAAGCTAACACACACATACACTGTGACAAATGCAGGCAACCTATGAGGTGCGTGTCAGACACCTTTCAATCTTAGAATTCATAAATTCACAGATTAAGAGCAAGAAACTAACGTTGAGATCCCTGATTTTCCAAAAGCATCGTATGCTTGGTGTTGGCCTGGGTCACTTAAGACTTGGCAAGCTTCTCCCAAAACCTGAATCCAGGGGTACTGGCCCAAGAGTTGTGCATACCCTCATTACAATAGACAGAGGAACATCCCCTTGAGCAATTAAGGTCACCTGAAAAGCTATTTCATACAAAGCACAGAATGGAGTTAAATAAATGGCCTAGGCGGGGGCTAGGCAGGGGCTAGGCGGGAGATAGGCGGGCTGGGCGGGCGCTAGGCGGGCTAGGCGGGCGCTAGGCGGGCTAGGCGGGGCTGGGCGGGCGCTAGGCGGTCAAGGCGGGCTAGGCGGGGACTAGGCGGTCTAGGCGGGGGCTGGGCGGGCGCTAGGCGGTCTAGGCGGGGGCTGGGCGGGGACTAGGCGGTCTAGGCGGGCTAGGCGGGCGCTAGGCGGTCTAGGCGGGCGCTAGGCAGTCTTGGCAGGCTAGGCGGGCGCTGGAGAGAGAGAGAGGAGAGAGAGGAGGATGACGACGGAGTTATGTTTAGGGTTTAGAAAAGGACCGCACGGCTATACTATTTTTTATAATAAAAACCGTAGTATATCCGCACGGCTATACGATTTATTGAAAAAAAAAAACCATTCTATTTGCATTAGTTTATACTTTATAGATCGTCAATACAAGAAAGATATTGATTATACTTTCTATTTGCATTAATTTATACTTGAAAAAAAAACCGTAGTATAGCCATGCTACTCTTACTGCATTTTTATACCACAATTCTATACCACATGATGTGGCAACTTACTTGGACATGCCACCACATCACTTAATTTCAATTTAAATGTTCTTATTTTTCATATGTTTTAATTTAATTCTTTAATCATTTGAAACACCATCATCCACCATTGAATATTACCCTAACACCATCATACACCGCTGCCATACCACCACCACCACACAGCTGCCGTCATCACAGCCTCTTCGTCAACATGAACCCTTAGAGAGATTTCCTTCATGTAAAGATATATATATATATACACACACACACATAGTTCTGAGTTCATTATGCAGATCGTCAATACAAGAAAGAGATTGATGATATTACAGTACCACTCACAACCGATAACATTATGGAATTTGATTTGAAATCAGAAGCATTGCTTCTTGGTATGTTAACAGTCCGCCCAAAGAAGTAAAACGAAACAACAAACAAACCATAGAATCTGAAATAGTCTTCCTTTCAATTAAAAGATGAATCTGCAATACTGAAGAGAAAACAAGCCCAAAAAAAAAATTCTAATAGACACACAAGAAACCGGTGGAAAACACTCTAGTGGTGGGGCGAGATAAAGAACGGCGGAGAGGGGGTGGAGGATGGTGTTATGCAACAAAGGTTGGGTAGGTTTCGATGGTGGGACTGATTGTTTGAATTACTATTATAATTAATGAATTAAATAACAAGATTAAATCCCTTTTCCCCCAAATAATAATAATAATAACAGGATTAAATTATAAATTTGGAGTAAATTAAAATTAAAGATGTGGTCAATGACATGGATTGACATGTCATGTGCCACATCATGTGGTATCAAATTGTGGTACCAAAATGTGGTAAGAGTAGCATTATTCATTAATTTGCTAGTTTAGATATATATACTTTATAGATTTAAATTTTTGAATATATATTATTTTTATTGAATAGTATGTGAAAACTGGGTGTATAATACATGAATTTTATGTGTATTATTGAAAATTTTGTGAAAAACAAGTGTATTAAACATGAAAAATACATACGTATGTGTAAAATACAAGTATTAAACATGAAAATGCTAAATTTTTTATACGGGCTAATAACTTTGAAAAAGTAAAAACTCAAAAGGGTACAATAGAGACTCATGTAAAGGCCTAATAGTAATGGAAAATGCTCTAAGCTATCGATAAACAAAATTTGTGGGAAAAAAGATAATAGTAGTAAAAATTCCCGTGAGCCGGCCATACTATTTTCAGTAGAAAAATTCAAATCTGGCTCAAAAGAATGCCAGACTGCTTCCCATTATATTCATAATCACAACAAACAATGTTGAGGGTAATGCAACCATCGGCGAGGTGAAATGAGAAGTGGCCAAAACCACACCCAAAGAAGAATTTTGCATGCCAACCTGCGAGTGTCAAACATGTAAATGAATGATTAGTGTTGCATGCCCACCAAAATTTCAATCTGAGCATAAAACAATGAAGATCTTCCATGGACTTACAATAAAGTTTAAGAAGAGAATTTTTATATCTTTATTACCAATTTGACCAAAGCTGAAACAAAACTGGAACACAAGGATTAACAGAAAGCCAGATCATGTCGTAAGGTTTCTATTCTATTTGATTAATACCTCAATTGATATTGCTCGTCTTTGTGCTTCTCTAAACCCGCAAACAGCTGCTGATATATACCTGCAAATTAACTCTCCTTGATCAAAAAAGACTCCTCAAGTTATACATTTGCACCGCAAAAACTCTAAAACAAACTAAACAAACATGCCGGGACCACAACCTTAAAGAATATTTGTATGAGTGCAAACTCTGCCAACAATGCTCGTATACAAAACTAGCTTCTGTCTTCATATGTCAAATTAAAATCCACATAGACAGAGAAGATTGAATATACTTTCTTACTGTGAAAGCTTTTTTTGGCTATGAAGTCATTATGACAGCAGACTATAGTTTTTCAATTATTGTTGCTTACAAATTATGAATACTTTCTTTTTTCAAATTATGGTTAACTTCACTCAATAATTTATATATCAAACTTGACAGAAGCTAAATCAAATAGCAATAATACACTAATACAAGGCTACAACGCAATTTTTTTATAATTTTTGAGCTAAAATTAGAGTGAATCTTTACATACTGAAAACAATGTATACATTACCTTGAGCTTTTTCCACAACAACACACCTAACAATCAAAGTCACCAACAGTTAAAGGCAACTTACCCCACAAAGAAACCAGCAATATGTACTAACAGCACAGAAAGAATAACCACCCCAACTTCTCCAGATAACACTGTCTCAGCATGAGCCATTAGAGAGAGATCAGCCGGCAATGTTACAGCAACCATTGAAGCTTTGAGACGAACAACATTCTCAGATAATACACTGGCCCACAAAATAAAATCTAGTATGTTTGGAAGGAACCACAGGCAAGACAATCATATTTTACATATAAGTAATTAAAAAGATATTTATATGCACAAGCAGTGATGCAGCTAGCTAGAACAGCAAAAAGTGGTGCAAATGCAAAAGGTTTCACAATTTTAACCACTGCAGGAAATGCACTCTGCATATAAGAACCAAACAAAATTGGAGCAACAATAACCTACAGATGACAGAATAGAGACAATAAGCCCCAGCTGATGGATAATATAATATTACTAAAGTTTCTTATATTTAACTTAACCTGCATGGTGCTCATTGACAGTTTGGCAGCATCCACAGGGACGTAAGTCCCTGCCAATATCTTTGTTAGTAGAGGAGTCAGGGGTACTGCCCCAAGAGTTGTGCATACCGTCATTACAATAGACATCCCCTTGAGCAATTAAGGTCACTTGAAAGGCTATTTCATAAAAAAAAATATTGAATGGAGTTGAATAAATGGCCTAGGCGGACGCTAGGCGGGTGCTAGGAGGGCTAGGCGGGCTAGGCGGGCGCTAGGCGGTCTAGGCGGGCGCTGGAGGGAGAGAGAGAGAGAAACGAGGATGACGATGGTTCTATGAGGCGAGAGAGAGAGAAACGTGGTTGACGATGGAGTTATGTTTAGGGTTTAGAAAAGGGCCCCCCGGCTATAAACAAAATGACCCTAGTAAAGCCGGTCGGCTATACTGTTTTTTAAAAATCTTTTGGGGAAAAAAAAAGGAACGCATAGGATATAGCCAGCCGGCTATACTAGTTTTTTATAATAAAAAAACCATTATATTTGTAAGCATCTCAAGGGAACCGAAAATATAGTTTCTCAATTGTTGCTTACAAATTATTCATCTCAAGGGAACCGAAAATATAGCCACCCGGAAATACTTAACCTCTAGGAAGACGGTGAAAAAAGAAATCCAAAAGGCTATGAAGAATCTCAAGGGAACCGAAAACAGATCCACCTTTTCTTCCCTCAACAAGGACGATGAGACATTTTCCGTTGTTAGCAGGTTGAGAGAAGTTGAAGCAATCACTCTCGCAGTGTTTGAGTCACTTCTTTCCTTCATCTCCGGGCCAAAATCACAACCAAGCAGCTGGTCAGTGGTCAAGATGATGCAGCCGAAGAAATTGTCTTGTGAGGAAGCAACATAAACAGATGAATTTTCTGTTAGACTTAAAAAAACTGAACTCTATAATAAGTTCATACTTTATTTTGACGAGATGATGCAAAACAAATAGCCTCTCCATGTATTAGTAAACATATACGTGAATTATGATTAAATGATTGTAACATTGTAATAAAATACTAAGAAAGTTTATAAGATAAATTAATTAGTTAATGAGTTGTTATGCTATAGTGTGGGAAGAGACATTGCACAAACATCGCCTAGGGAACATGCATATGGATTATGCAGATACATCTTCTATCTTCTTACAAGACACAACAAGAAGAAATGACTTTCCACACTTGCTCGAACAGCTTCCCTTCAAGGCCACACCTGATAATTGAAGAAGTTTATACATGGCAATACGGTTGTGTTGCGTACTTGGAGAAATTTTGGACCTTGGGATAGACTCCTTCACTTAAATTGCTACTACGTACTCTCTTGTTCTTGTTTAAAATATCAGTGAATTTTGGTGCCTATATGGTTAACTATTACTAATCCTGAATTCCTGCAATTATCATCAACTTGCCTAAATAAGGGTTTGAGCTTAATTACGATATGATCTTGCTTGCTGCAATATCATCAATTTTTTTTAATCAATGGGTATCCATGTGTAGATGATGGGATTTGAATTTTACCTTTCTTTCATATTGAGAATAAAGATAGTAGAAATAATAAAAAAGATTTCTCTCCTGAAAAAACAGTAAATCCCACATTGGACAAGTATAATACTTGTGAAGTACTTAATATTGTTAACTCCTAAAATTTTGATTGTCGAGCCTAGTAACGTGGGCTTGTGACCCAATATAGGGGCATTAAAGGTGGAATGTGAAATTGGTCTTATCACGTAGAAAACCTACGGCCCAGTGCCCTAAGTTCAGCCCATTATTTAATTGCACTACTTAGTGGCCCAGCCACAAAAGTTGCTTTCTTCAAAGACGCCAGTGCCCAGGAATTTGAGTCCGCCCACTACGAACTTACTGGGCCAGGCCGAGGTGGTGTTTACTCTTGACCTAACCGCACCTTTTTACAAGTTTTATTTTTAACTTAAATTTTAATCTTTATTTATTAACTTACTTTTTTTTCCTTTTTTTATGGCATTAAAATTTAATTTGTGTAGAGAGCATACATCAAGCTAGTGCCATCCATTAATTCAAGATCGGGAGGAAGGAGTTGAATGCCTATTTATTTAGGCAAATTGATCAAAACAAGGGTCTCCCTCCTCAACATCCTACTGTATACAAATACATCCTCTGATATCAAATTCAAATCATGTTACTTCTCTCAAGATTCCATGTCCCCCAACTCAACCTACCCTATATATTAAGCAATAACATATGGAAAAGAACATTAGCCACAACTTCTTCAAGGTCTTATATTCTATCTTCTCACAATACACAACAAGAAGAAATGGCTTTCCACATCCGCTCCAACAGCTTCCCCTCAAGGCCACACCCGTTCAAGAAGTCGATGAACATTTGTGTGGATTAAGATCCTTCTGAGGTCACCTCCACATCCTCCTCGTCAATCAGAGCCACAAGCTAAGTGGCCTCCAAGACTTGCATGATTGTATTGATAGGTTGCTTCAGTTTCCCCTCACTCAACAAGACTTGGCCCATAATTAATTAGAAATTGACTAATGAGCTATTAGATAACTCACCTAGGCTCTTGGATGTTTGTTGCAGTGTCAAGGATGCCCTGTTGCAAACCCAGGAATGTGCACAAGAACTTCAATCAATCCTACGAAGAAGGCGGGGAGGGAGGTGAGAAACTGGAGTCACAAGTGAGGTTAACAAATACTTGACCTTGAGGAACATGGTGAAAAAGAAAATCCACAAGGCTATGAAGAATCTCAAGGCAATAGAAAACAGATCAACTTTCACTTTCCTCAACTAGGATCATGAGACCATTGCCATTGTTAGCAAGTTGAGAGAAAGTAGAAGCAGTCACTCTTCCAGTGTTTGAATCACTTCCTTCCTTCATCTCCGGGCCAAAGTCACAGACAAGCAGCTGGTCATTGGTGTCCAAAAGTCACATACAACCACTCATGAATAATCAACAACTTTCAGAAGAAAACATAATACCAAGAGGAATTTTGGGACCTTTGGATGAACCTGAAGGCTAGGGCTTCCTTCTGTTGGAAGGACAAACAGGATACAATTTGGCGTGTTCCCCTTGGTATAATCATCCTTTTAACCCATGCGGAAGGAGGATTGTTTTGTAATTAATATAGAGTCATTTTCTCCTTCTATCTTTAAAAAACATTAATCCCACATTGAAAAAACATAACCCTTGTTAACTACTTAATATTGTTAACTCCTAAAATTTTGATTGCCGAGCCTAGTAACGTGTGGGGGCATTAAAGGTGGAATGTGGGAAGGTCTTGTTTAGACGCGACCAACAGGTCCAGTGCCGGTGTTTCCCCTATGGTTATAGTAGGCTTCTACAAAGATGCTCCCAAGTTGACGGTTAATCTCAATTGGCTGGTTGGCAACATTGTGGAAAGGCAGTTGACTTATCAAGCAGCTGTGGCAGACATAACGGCAGCATAACGGCATCTGATCTCACTCTGGGCCGACTGAGACCCGCTCTTGACTTGACCAATGACCACCATCTTTTTTACCTCCCTCCTCCCACAACCCACGATGCCAACCCAATTCCTCGCTTTTTTTTCGTTTTTATATGTATTAGCTTTTCGATTTTGAACATAAGTGGTTAGTGTTTGACCCGAAACAAATTTGTAGAGGCCAAGAATATTTAAACTATTAATGCAAAAGTTTCATCCTCACGTGGGGATAATCTCAATAAATTCAAAGGAGTTTCTGAAATTATGATTGAGATCACATGGGATTTTTGCAAGCAAATCAAATATCTCAAGGGAGATGAATAATCAACAACTAATGTCTAGCATTCAAAGGAGCATTTGACTACACGCTTTGAGCAGTAAACATTATACCAAGAAGGATGTCTAAACTCGGCCATACGATTGTGATGTATATATACTTGCACGAAGCATACACAATAAATTCTCCAAAGGCCTTTAATTATATACAAGAAAATTACCGAACTGCTTGTAATAGAGTTCTATTCCTTTTCCTCTTCTCTCTTGAAATAACCGTAGATCCCACATTGGAAAAATATAATACGTGTTATGTACTTAATGTTATTAACTCCTAAAACTTTGCTCGCCGAGCTTAGTAATGTGAGCTTGTGACCCAACATGGGGGCATTAAAGGTGGAATTTGGAACTTAGTGTATGACGTGGACAACTGTTAATGTATGGTTTTTACTATTTTCTTTTGGCTTCCCTTGACAACTTTGTAATAGGATGTGTAATGTAATTTATCAAGCTCAAGTCTAGATTAGGGAAAACTTTTATTGGTGCTCTTCTCTAATCTCTGCTCTATGGTGGCTCAAGCAAGTTGACAAAGGTATTGAGCATTGCATATCATTACATAAAACAGTCTTCATAAAAAGATGACTAGTCAACCGTTTCTCATATGACTAGTCATCCTTGCCTCCAGCTGGATAACAAACTGTTTTGTCCTATTCTTCTTTCTCTCTCTCTGCTGCCAAGTGGGTTTTCTGACCTAAGGAATTCGTTGGTCTGTATAACCCACGATATTTCTCATTTGGCTGTTGTCTCTTTCGTGTGGAAGTTTTGGGAAAGTTTGGCTTGCCATCTTTCGCTTCTTCTTCCACGAGAGAACCATCTTATTTCATCTATGAGTTTTTCCAATTGATTTCTTTTTGAAAAACTGCATTTGAAACACAAATCTGCATCTAGCTATTTAAATCATTCTATCATTTATATCTAGGTCAGATTCAAGATTGATTTCTTCAAGAGTATGGTTTCTTGAAGAAATTGGTCTTTCTCCTTTGAATCCAAATTGGTTTCGGTTTGTGTTGGAGCTTGCAAGCTAGTGCCATGGGATGAACGAGCTGGAGAAGGAGCTGCCATTGCCATGAAGGACTGAGCTTCAAGCTTTGCTAAGTTGGAGAAGAAGATTGCACAAAGGAGGTATTGCTCATATTCCTAAATAGACCTAGGTGCTTCTTGAGCTTGGTTGTGTTTCCTTTGTAAGAATCTTTTTCTACTTAGTGAATTGCCTGGTCGGTTGATGACTCCCAGTTTTTCCCAATGGTGGGTTTCTGGGTGAACAAAATCTGTTTTGCATATCTGTAATTTTTCTGGGTTTGTGTTCTTGGTGGTTGACTAGTCATCTGTATCTGCTGTTTGATGTTTACATGATAATGATGATTTCACACACTTTCACCATAGTTGTTGCTAGCACAGGGGATGCCTAGATTGACGGGTCCTTCTGAGTGCCTAGGTTGTCACTAGTAATCTTCTAGGATTGCAGGTACATTGTGGCATGCTCTGTGTATTCTATTGGTTGTGATTGTTTCTTGACTAGTAGTTGACTAGTCATATGTGTATTTGGTCAAGGTTTAAAGTGTGTGAAGCTTGCTGTGTTTTTGTGTCTTGTTTGTGTGATTAAGTTTACCCTCGTCACCTAAGTACCATTTTCAACAACCTATGACACAATGCTCTCGGCACGGTTGCTCGTGGGCTACCTACGAGCAACCATGGTGGCTTATCAGAGCAGCTGTCGATCACGGTAGGCCTTGCTCTGCTCTTCACCTGACTGCCACCTTTTTTAGTTTTCTACGATTTTCCATTACCTGTACAGATATAATTCAAAACCTATACATTTACTTCTGTCAATCTCTCCAACCACAGTAGGCAGCCAATCCACTTTTGCTTTGCTTATTAATTCGAAAATAAAATGTTTGGGGAGCAGTCCAATTCATAAAGTCTGCTAGCTACAAACCATTTTTCAACATCATGGAAGCATAACGCAATTGCACATGATCATTGAAAAATACAGATTGCAAATCTTGCCTGCTACTTGCTTAACAATCATGCCAAGGACCTGAAAAATAATATGAACTTGATCAGCATATAATTGAGTTTATGCATTAGGGTTAAGCATGTTAATTTATAGAACTCTGTCCAATATGTTAGTTAAGCTAAATTAATGAGTTCATGAGTTGGGATCCAATTCAAATCATGTTACCCTTCTCACTAATATGATTGAAGAGGATGACCATGACCCCTCCTCAACCAACACTATATATTAAACAAACACATGGAAAATATATTACATTAACCACTTCTTTCAAGGTCTTCTATTCTATCTTCTCACAATACACAACAAGAAGAAATGGCTTGCCACATTCTCTCTAAGCTTCCCTTCAAGGCCACACCCAATCGTTCAAGAAGTTGATGAACATTTGTGTAGATTGAGGTCTTCTGAGGCCACCTCCACATCATCAACATCAATCAGCCACAAACTAACTGGCCTTCAAGACTTGCATGATTGTGTTGATAGGTTGCTTCAGTTGCCCCTCACTCAACAAGCCTTGGCCCAAGAGCAGAATGAGAAATCAACTAATGAGCTATTAGATGGTTCTCTCAGGCTCTAGCAGTGCCAAGGATGCCCTGTTGCAAACCAAGGAATGCGTACAGGACCTTCAATCGATCATGCGAAGAACGCAAGGAGGTGAATCTGGAGCACTCACAACTGAGGTCAGGAAATACTTGACCTCAAGGAAGATGGTGAAGAAGGCAATCCACAAGGCTATGGTAAATCTCAAGGGATCCAGTTTCTCATCCCTCAGCAAGGACAATAGACTACTGCCGTTGTTAGCACGTTGAGAGATATCAAGGCAGTCACTCTCTCAGTGTTTGAATCACTCCTGTCCTTCATCTCTGGTCCAATTCAAAGCCGAGCAGCAGCTGGTTATTGGTTTCCAAGATTATTCACACTAAAAAAGTAGCTTGCGAGGAAGAAACAGAAGCAAATGAATTTGCCCAAGTGGATGCTGCTCTGCAACCATTCTTTAAGACAAGCAAATCTGACAACAAGAATGCAGACAACCAGCTTGACAATCTGGAGTCATGCATTCAAGATCAGGAAGAACAACTTGACTGCCTATTTAGGCAGTTGATTAAAACAAGAGTCACCTCCTCAACATCCTAAACCACCAATATATATATTAGCTTTTTCGATTTTGTACATGAAAAACACACGTGTATACAAATCATCCTCTGGATACAAATGATTACTCATTTGCTTAATTGTCAATTATTATTATTCGCATTTGTTTTCGGAACCATTGAAACAAAAATTCTACCATTTCCATCCTATATATTGATCCTCTTATCATCTATAATTGGTCTATTTGCAAGAGTCGATGAATTAACTCTGACTCTAAGTAAACTCAGAGGAGTATCGAAAAGTATCATTGTCAAGAGCAAAAAGGTTTTGGTTCAATTGGGACAGTCTAGCGAGCCATGATGGAGCCTACAATGACAAGAGGTTTGACCGATGAGTTTTCACTGGCAAGACGCATATATCGCTTGAGCCTACAATGACTATGGGAATCAATATAGCATATAATTTATATAATTATTCACAATTTGGTAAGATATAACATTATAATAAATTGTTTGAGAAAATTATTTTCAGGAAAAGAAGTTGAACAGTCAAATATGGCAGTCACAACATAGACATCATGGATTTCAAGCTTTGGGCACATTATTATTTCCCGAAATTAAAAATTTGTGTGCATTTCTTTAAACTATTCACCTTAGCAGGAATATTGTCATAGACATTGATAATCCCATCATAAAATATTGTAAGTTGTTCTGAAGTCCTGTTGGATTGATCATCACATCTGTGTATGTACACACACAACAAAAATTGAAGAGGACTAACTTCAAAAGGGAAACTAATGTTATAACACAAGAAATAATTAGGGTAACGATTTTGGCACTCCTAGTTTAGTTGTAGAAATTCAATTTAATTCCTTTTAAAGACTCTCAGTGGACGTTCTAGAAGCATAAACAGATTGTGCCAACATCGGTACCCAAACATAATAAGCATATATAATAACGAATGCAAGGAAAACGTACCGCAATCAAGGAAGCAACTGTTGCTCTGGCAAAGATAGCCGGTGTCCTGGGAAATTATTACTACCAAGAAATTTAGGTGGTAATAAAGGGCGGGGTGATGAATGCCTTTTGATAATTTCTGATTCAAATTCAGCTTCCATGCTGGTTTTAGTCACGTTATTGTGACTTCTTGTATGAAGATACTTTCTGAAGAACCAAACACTTTGAGACATATTATTCTCTTCATCCATTGATCTTATGCTGGATGTCTCTTTGCAGGTCATCTGGGGTCCTTGTAACTTTTTCAAAACCAGAACTATTTTTATTTTCGTCTTCTCCATACAGTTCTTGGTCTGTTTTCATGAAGAAGTCCTTTGGTATAATTGGAGTGCTACAAGCCATGATATAGATATATATATATAATATATATATATATACCAGCCTAGTGTCAACAAAGTAAAGCCGCGCGGGTGAAAAATTAACTTGATCTGCTGGGCTAATCGACCCAGTTTGAACAAGGCGCGGTTAGAATCATTCAGACGTCCGTCCCACATGAAGCCGTTTCTACAGCTAAGCATTATTGTGAGAATGAGTGCTACAATTCACAAATACGACAGGGTCAGAAAAACATCAAAATTAATTTCATGCATCTGTGTGTACAGATCAGTAGATCAACAAAAACAGAGAAGATACCATAATAGACTGTAAGCACTTTCAGCTCATCTTAAGACTCCAAAAAACATAAGACACGAGGCTCTCAGAAACAAAACGGCTTATGAAATCAAAATAATTACTGGATATGAAGAATTTTACTTTAAAAAGAAAAAGAAAAGAGTAAGGCAAAACTAGAATCCTGAAACACCAGACCAAAACTAGAGAGTCCAGAAAGGAGTACGATTCTTAGGATAAAAATCTATGTCCCAACATTTCATACAAATATAAACCTGATTCAAGTTTCCCTTTCTTGTCAGACTCTAGAACCTTTCTTCTAAACTATGGAACCCATGTATCTTCTATTTTCCGAAACTAGAAATAACAGTTTCCCTTTCTTGTCATACCAAAGAATTACATCAAACAGGGGAAAGTTTTCTAAAACAATAAATTAAGATATTTTTTTTTTTTTTTTTTTTTTTTTTTTTTTTTTTTTTTTTTTTTTTTTTTTTTTTTTTTTTTTTTTTTTTTTTTTTTTTTTTTTTTTTTTTTTTTTTTTTTTTTTTTTTTTTTTTTTTTTTTTTTTTTTTTTTTTTTTTTTTTTTTTTTTTTTTTTTTTTTTTTTTTTTTTTTTTTTTTTTTTTTTTTTTTTTTTTTTTTTTTTTTTTTTTTTTTTTTTTTTTTTTTTTTTTTTTTTTTTTTTTTTTTTTTTTTTTTTTTTTTTTTTTTTTTTTTTTTTTTTTTTTTTTTTTTTTTTTTTTTTTTTTTTTTTTTTTTTTTTTTTTTTTTTTTTTTTTTTTTTTTTTTTTTTTTTTTTTTTTTTTTTTTTTTTTTTTTTTTTTTTTTTTTTATTAACGGAATATTTTCAAAAACTAAATATGTTGAATTCACATGACATTAGGTACATCACCATGCATAAAAGGACTCAGAATAAACCAAGGCAGCCCAAAGCTTAGTTATCCTTCTTTATTTGCAAGCTTAATCTTTACACACTAACCTCCCAGAATTATTTTTTTTCAATACCAGCTCTATGACATTACAACCATCCCATGGCCATTTTAACATCAATTTAACCCAGCTAACTCTTACACAATACAAAAACAAATGTGTGAATTTGAGATCAAGCCAAAGTAGTAAGAGCACAAGTATGACTGCCAAAAATGAGAATAGAGACCCAGAAATAACAATCATTTGCATACCTCATGTACAATAGAAATCAACGCTATGTTTGTTGTTGCCAGCTCTGTTGGAGCACAAACTGCAAGTAAATGAAAACTCACATTCAAGCATATACTCTATCAGCACTTCACTGCAATGGTTTGGTTTTTCACATTCAACAGAATCAATAACTTACTAGTATTTTCTTAGTGTAATAAGCAGTGTGAAATATGTGGATCTGAATAAGGTTCAGAGACTTATATCCATTAAAAGCAGCCTGAGCGAATTCATGTAACTTCGTTATCTCAATCTGACAGCATAAGACAGTAAAGCAGCAAGCAAGGACACTCCTATTTGTTTAACCACCAGAAAAACGTGCAAATTATTATGGCTAGTTTGTCAGAGAACTCCAATTGCTCACAAACTCCATACTGGAAATATATATTCATACAATTATCTTAGAGCTACAAAGAATTTCATGCTCAATATAATTTCCTAAAGAAAGTACTATCCAGAGGCTTATACATGTCACATACATTCTATCCATCCCTTTCCCCTGTTCGAAATCATATCAAATTTCCTAGACCTAGTTTTGGTTGGGCCTGTGCATGTTCAGATGCAAGCAGAACAATAGTCTGTGGCCTGTGCATTTGCTGACAACACAAATCAAAATACCACGCACCAAATATTCCACCCAAATTTAAATCTATTTCTTTTTTCTACTTACAGTAATTGAAAGTTCTATTGAAAGGGATGAGTTTTCAAAGTCATTCTTAATTATCCAAACAACCCAAAACTATATATTCACAAGGTCTGAACAAGCAGAACAAAGTTGTTCCACATAACCTGGTGGGGGGCAAAAATGAGAGCAAAAGAAGAGAGAGCACTCATTCCACAACTTTGAGCCAATGCAAAATGACTGTTCCAGCCCATCAAAGTTATGGGTGGTTTGGCAAGTAGTGCACAAATTTGTTCTTCAGAGCTCAGAGAGAGGTTGTGGTTCAACAATTGTATTAATAAATACCATTCAACTATACAGAAGAATGCTTCTCTCCAAAAAAAAATACAGAAATGCTCAGATTCACGGCATCACCCAATTTCCATATCTATTGTTGAGATTCATGGCACCCAATTTCCTTCTAAGTAGGTTAGCGTACGTAGTGGATATGTCCAATCACTTACTTCAAGGTATTATGCCTTCCCTTTTCGTACGGCATCAGTCTCAGCCTCCGATGATGTCTTCACTTGGACGACGTCGTCACGATGCCCGCCTAGGCCGCCTAGGCGCTGTTTTTGATATATATTTTTTTTCCGACTGCAGCAGCGGCATTCCTCAGCTCTCACAGACTCATCGACTCTCTGGCCTTCCTTTTTCGTACTGCATCAGTCTCAGCCTCCGATGATGTCTTCAATTGGGACGACGTCGTTACGATGCCCGCCTAGGCCGATTTTTCGATATATATATTTTTTTTTTTCCCACTGCAGCAGCAAGCTTTTCGTACTGCATCAGTCTCAGCCTCCGATGATGTCTTCACTTGGGACGACGTCGTTACGATATCCAAACCGTTTCAGATCTCAGGGGCTACTCGGAAAAACATCAAAATCTGAAATCGCGCTTTCCTTGGTAAGTTATACAATACATTTTCTCAGCTGCCAAACAGAAACAGACCAATTGTTCGTTTATTCTCTCCACAGTCACAGTCCACTCCACATTTGATTGAAACTGCTTGCAGGAATCGCACCTGAGTTCCTTCCCTTTGTATTCATGCTGAGCACAGGACGAGAGCTGTGGGAGATGTAATCAAAAGCTTAGGGGAAGAACATGGTCCAGGTATAAGGAATGAGCTACGGTTTGTTTCTGCGATTTGGGCCACCTTTTTTTTACCTTGGTCTAGGTGATTAAACAGTGAATTATAATCAATTTTTGATGCATCTCTAGCAAGTCATTTGGCTATATTAATCTGAATGATGAATGGCCACTGGCTCATTGGATTAATTGGTGCTATATATGTATCTTGCAGTGCCTCGACATGGAGGTTCTGTGAAAGGGCTTGATAATGAGGTTTGGAGGGGACACTGTGGCGCTATAGTGTTGGCTAGAGAGGAATATAAGATTTTTTGTAGGGTTAGAAACTTCAGTGGTAGCATTGAGTCTGGTCGTTTTTTCAATGGTCATGTAGGAAGGAAGCCAGCTAAATCTTTTATTGTTGTTCATTTGATTTTCTTGCAACTTTTCATTTTTAACATTTTTTATGTGTACTTCTTGTTGGAATAGGCTTATGGAGTGCACATGAATGGCGCTGGTGGACTGGTTTGTAACGAGCTTTCATCTCACTTTAAGACATTTTAGTTTCTATTCTATCAGTATTTAGGCTGTCAGTGCTCAGTAGGAGCTTGCTTGAATAGTTTTGCTTTTGGTATCTAGAGCCTCCAGACCTTGATGAAATAACATGGGCATTTCTCCGACCCCGAAAGAGATGGGTTTACATGACATGTTTCCTAAATTAGACGGCTCTGGTGCACTTTAATGTCAATGTAATTGGTGAAACTACTTGACCCAAGAACTGGCTGGATTTATGGTTGTAATCTGAGGCAACTAGAAGAGCAAGGGGTCCTTCCTTGCCTGATATTTAGTGGCCTACTTTAAGCATAACAAATGCAATTGGCAGGGATGTTTTGTTTTGCTATGATTTAAAACTTCCTGAGAGTTTCACGCCTAAGAATCAAGGTAAGACCCTTGGAGCTTAGCTTTTACCTAAAAGAGTTGTGAACTGTGCCTTCAGCTTCGTCATTTTTCACCTTTCATTTCATCCTAAACCATCTGCAATTTTCCCCTTATTGAACGATGGAGAGGTGGAGAGCTCCAATGTTAAAGCTCCTCAGGCGCTCTGTATCCACCTCACCAGAGAGTTGGCCATTCAGGGTAAATTTCCGTTCTTTTCTTAGATTGTTACTCCAATTGTTGTTGTTGTTTTTTTAAAATTAATTTGAATAGAAATTATATGGTGAATGATATACAATTTACTTAAAAGAAAGAAAGAAAGGCTCTTTTCTTTGTTTGTGGAAATTGAATATAGCTGAGCTTTTTGGACTAGAGGATTGATGGTGGTAAGTGAATGTGGCAGAATAGGGAGGTCCTTCAGAAGATGGGAAGTACACGGGGATAAATGCAGAGTGTTGTCCCGACGGAGAGGACGAGTTCTACATCCATTCAATCTCGAGCACCAGTATCAGCACAAATTGTGATTGGAACCCATGGTACAATTAAGAAATGGATGTCTATCAAGAAGCTGGGCGTTACTCCCTCTCTCTCTCTCTCGCTTTATCATGCTCGTTTTGAATTATATTTCGGTCATTGATATGCTATGTATATTGGTTTTATTTGCTTGAAATTGTAGATAAACGCTATGTGAAGGGCTTCGTGGATTCATGCTATGAGAGCTGCTTCAAGAATGATCATATTAATTAAGGGATTGGCAATTGTTGCCTAGCTAGCTGCATGCAGCATGAATGTCTTGCGCTCCAGAAAAATAAATGACAATTACGTCTTGCATATGCAATAATTTTAATTTAAAATAATAATTAGATTGTTCCAATTACTATTTATATTGCTTTGTGGACCTTATTTCTTTCTTGCATACCACCATCTTAATATGTTACAAACGTAACTTCTTCACTCCTACCGTCATCACCAACATCATCAATAATAATAATAGAGAGAAAGAATATACTCTCCAAGGAGCAACGCCTAAAATAAGTATGCTATTCAATTTACTGCTAAACTGGTATGACATCATTCTTTCATGCATCATCACGTCTCAAAACAATACCCTCAAAGCTAGCTAGAAATTCATAAAAGTGGAAATTCACGTCTGCTTAACCCATTGATGGATGGAATTAAGCTCCAATAACAGGACCATTGTTTTTCTAATAGGTACAGAATTTACTCATATGCCGCATAACATACACCCAAATATATGAAATCTTCCCTTTGCTTTTTCTTTTCACCACATTTTTCAAGTAGAACCGGAAAAACATCCTAAATTTTTTAAAACCCACGCTGCCTCTCTCTCCTCTGAGCCGTCGCCTCCTCTCTCTCTCTCTGTAATGCTCAACCAGTCCAAAACCAAACTCACAAAAACCACGACCAAAGGGAACCCTACGGCTAAACATTGACATTTGATACCTCTGTAATGTGTCTATGAAATTGATCAAAATGAAAACTTGAGCAGACAATAACTTCTTCTGTAACAATTCCTACTAGTTTGAACAAAGGTTTAAAAAAAAAAAAAAAATTTGTACAAAATACATGATATTTACTGTCACATACTGAACAAGGTCCTATCAAAACTTGTCAAAGTTGAGTGAAAAGATCAGTCACAATAAAATGAGTTAATTTTGACTGCAGAGCTCATACTAATGGCAAAGCTGATGTGCAAGAGACCCATATATGAATAGCATCACTGAGCAATATCATTCAGACTTCTGAGTGTGAGTACTAGAGACTTCAAATGAGATTAAAAAAAAAAACAAAAACAAAAACAACTGAAAAAAACAGAAACCAAAGAATTCTATAACCATATAGGAAACACAGTGGACCCATAACGCCAAAATCTAAAAGCATTTAATCACTTTATATGAAAAAATAATCAATCAGTGACTATCATCTTAATAAGAAGAAAGTGAAGCCATTAAGGTTTTCATTTTCCTCTTTTGGGTAACAGTTTTTGCCAAATTAGTAACGACAATCCAAATTAGTAAGAGAAAAGTGTGATTACCAAAAATGAGAATAGAGACCCAGGAATAGCCAATCATTTGCATACCTCATGTAGAATAGAAATCACAGCTATGTTGGTTTTGCCACTCCTGTTGGAGCACAAACCTGCAAGTATCAAATCAGCACTTTTCACTGCAATGGTTTGGTATTCACATAGTCAACAGAATCAATAACTTACTAGTATATTTTCATTAGTGTAATAAACAGTACGAAATATGCGGCTCTGAATACGGTTCAGAGACTTATATCCACGAAAAGCAGCCTGAGCGAATTCATGTGACTTCGTTGTCTCAATCTGACAGCATAAGACAGTAAACAGAAATAGAGGTCAGTAGGTGATAAAAGAAATAGCAAGCAACGACAATCCTATTTGTTTAACCACCAGAAAACGTGCAAATTATTATGGCTAGTGGAGGGAATGATTTTCCCCACGAGAATATTCGTCAAAGATTCCTTCGTCTTCTCCGCTTCTCTTTCTCTCTGCAAAACAGATCGGAGTAAAAGGACCACACCCGGGGGGTGTTGGCCAAAGGCCCTCCGATGCCTAAGTTAGGTAAGGTATTTCAAGGAAAACCGGGTGGCCGGAGCCGTGTGTGGTGGCCGGAGCCTTGTGTAAGGGAGAGAAAGAAAGTGGTGGCTAGGGTTTGTGAGAAATGATTTCTGCAGAGTTTCAGTAGGAATTTAGACGTACCTCCACCATTGTGTGTGGCTATGCTTTTATAATGGTCTTGGAGGCTAGGGTTTCAGAGGAATAATTCCGTAGATGGAAGGGAATTATTCCTCCCCTTTATGGAATTGATTTGATTAATTAGGGATTTGATTTATTAGGGTAAATCAAATCCCTAATTGTGGTAGGTATCAAATCAAATCCTATTTCAATTAGGTAACTCCTCATTTAATTGAGAATCGGGGTAGGAATTAGGAATCAATTCTCAACCCAATTAGGTAGTCTTCAATTTAATTGGGTAACCCCCAATTAAATTGAGTAACTCCCAATTAGGTTTGATTAATTCCCAATTAGGTCAAATAATCCCCAAATGGAATGAATTATTTGACCTAGGGTTTTGGCTTAATTTGGTTACCACAAATGCCCCCCAGCTTCTGCATGGCGCGTGGTGGCATGTAGGAGATGTAACTGCTTCGTTGGGTTGTCCAGCTGTAACTGGGCTTCCTTCGTGGACCTGGGCTCCTGAGTAGAGGAGGTATTTGACTTGCCAATTTTACGAACTCCTAAGTTGGAAAGAGTTTGCGATTCCTTGTAGGTCAAGGAATTTTGATCCTTATAAATGTGGGGCTCCTCCAATTTATTCTTCACATCAAAAAGTCTATTCCACCAATTTTGTAAGTGAGAGAGAGAGAAACTTTGGAGAGCTTTCCCAGCGTGCTTGAAACTTCATCTTTGCTGTCCATCCAAGGTAATTAGCCTAGAAGAATTTTGTGTCTCTGACTTTTAGCATCTTGGTCCGACTTTTGGCAGCAAGGAGTGGTCCGTGCCTTGTGATTGGACTGGGGCATGATTGGAGGTCTGGAAGGCTGGCAGGATCAGGCCTTGCACGTGTTGGGCTCGAAGCAGGGGCATGGAGGCGTTGGACCAAGAGCTGGAGCAAGGGGGGAATTGGGCCATCGCGCGACATGGGCTTGCGCTAGGCAAGCTGGCCACGTGCTCCATTTGGGGCGGTCTGGCGCATCACTTGGGCCTCGCATGCGGAGCGGGCCTCGCTGGGCGCTCGAGCTGGGCTGGAGACTCGCGCTGGGCTGGAGCCCCGTTGGGCTGCGCGCGCTTTTTTTTTTTTTTTTTTCTGGGCTGCTGCTTTTTTTTTTTTTTTTTTTCTTTCGACTTGCGAATTTTTCCGGTATTCTAACTTGTAGAATTCTTTCTTTTTTGGCAGCCACTCGTTGACCAACTATGTCTTCCGGGGACGGTAGCAAGGCTCCAAGCTCTCAAGCACCTTTATACTTGTGGGGAGGCTCCCTTAGTGCCTAGCAAGAAATTCGTGGCCAACTTGCACCGCGTGACGACCGATGCTCAGTTCCAGAAGTGGCGGGCTGCCTTCACATCTGCCATTCCAGATGACGTGCAGGTCAAGCTACTGAAGTCTTGGGCTGATAGCAAGCCTTTGGTAGATGCGAATGATCCCGGCGCTAGGGTCATTACCTTCCGTCCTTTTTACTTTTCCTTGGGCTTCAAATTCCCACTGTCGAAGCTCTTCAAGGAGGTGTTCTGCGCCATGGAGTGTGCTCCGAGCCAGTGTACTCCCAACGTTTACCGGGCAATCATGTGCTTCGAGAATCTGAGCCGTTTCTTCACTTTGGAGCTGACATTGCGTGAGTTCTTTTATTTTTTCGAGGTGAGGCACTTTGAGCAGTATGCCCAAGTTCGCACCTACAAGACCAAGCTGTTCGACGGTCTCAGTCAGGGAGATCACGCTTGGCATGACGACGTGTTGGAAGTTAGCGGACGGTGGGAAGGCGACGTTCGTGACGGCCCACTTGTTCCCGTGACCTATTGCCCTGGTATGTCTTTTGTGACTTTTGATATGTTCCTTTTTATTTGAATTTCTTAAAGTGTGGTTGACTAACTTCTGTCTTCTGCTTATAGTAAATGACATCAGTAAGCAATTGGAGCTTGGACCAGACATGGCTAAGGTCCGTCGTGCTTTGAACATCCCTCAAAAGTTTCGCGAGTGGCGCTGGCTGTTGAGCGAGTACCGAGAGGTAGATGGTGGTCTGCCCCCTGCCGAGGATGTCGAAAGGTGGAAGCAGAATGGACCTGACCCTGACGATCTGCCTACAGTACAGGAAGAGTGTTCTGCTGAATCTCCACCAAAGAGAAAGGCTGCTAGCAAATCTTCCAGAGGTGAAGCCACTTCTTCGCATGCCAAGAATGGGTCTCCATCGAGGAAGAAGCCAAGGCTCCCTTCTGCTGAGAAGGCTCAAGTGGGGTCTGCTCCGTCATCATCTGCCAGGGTCAAGCATCTCGTGGGTGCAGATAGCACGAAGGTTGGTGGTATGCGCGGTGCTCGGGGTGTTCTGCCCGAGCCTCCTGCCGACACGCTCGAAAACCATGACATGCTTCGTGAGACAGCTCGTGCCCGGCCTAGTTCTGCTGAGCGTCAAAGAGATGTAGACATTCCTCCTCGAAGTTCGAGTCGTCTGCATCGGTCGAAAGATGGAGATCGAAGTGGGAGGTCTGCTTATGATCCAGCTGTTGAACCGTGGGCAGTCAAGCGTGGAGTTGATTCAGTATCATTGACTCCTTTGGAGATGAAGTTGGCGGAGGCTAAGAAGATGAGAGAGTCATCTGCTCGGGCTAAGGGTTCTTCTTCAGCGACGGCGGTTGGACCCAAGGTGGATAAGTCTAACCCTGCGGGGGATGCATGTGTGTCTGATCTGCTCAAGACGAACTTCCTATCGAACCCGTCCTCATGTGCTGAGCTGGTTGATCACATTCGTCAGGCAGGCGATCTTGGCACTTTCTCGAGCCTTTCCTTGGAAAAACAAAGGGAAGCGTCATTCCATCTGATTCAAAAAGGATTGGTTTTTGCTGCAGAGACCATTCGGAACTCATCTGCTGTTGCCCCCTCTTCTGCTCAGCTTAGCGAGCTGGAGAAGAAGAATGCTGAATTGGCCAGCCATCTTGCTGCCGAGCAGGCCCGTTATGAGAAGAAGACGCATGATTTGAGGGCAATGATTTCTGAGCTGAAAAGCTCCCTTACCGAGAAGGATTCTGAGCTCAACTCTCTTGCCACTGATTTAGTTAGTCGCAAAGATGCCTTCTTTAGTCTTGAGCGTAAGAATGCTGACATCTCCCTTAGCCATGACAAGCTCCTGGCTAGATTTCACGCATACCACAAGTCCGCAGAAAAATCCAAGTCTGAAGCCATCATAGACGCGTACAAGTTGGGCTACCTGCACTGTGCGGATGAGGTTACTCCCTTGTATGCGATTGACGATGTAGACATCGAGACACTCTGCCCTGATTCACCCCGTGCAGAAGGAGGAACTGAAGAGCAAGAAGTTGCAGAGGATGGAGGGGAGGTGGACACAGTAGATGAGATGATGGCAGATGAGGCTGCTGAAGGCATAGCTGATCAGGTGGATGCCGAAGAGGCTGCGACTCATAGGTCTCCTGCCGGCGCCTCAGAGTAGATGAAGACTTCTTTATTTCTTTTCAGCTTTTGTAGTTTGCTTTCTTGTTTTGAATAATTGGTCTTTTTTGACCATATTCTTGTTGTTGAACTTGGCCGGTTGGTCATATTGTTATGGAAATTTCAGTTGTTACTCTCAACTTTCAATTTGCATATCGACCTGTGAACTGTTAAGTAATCAGCTTCAGTCTTAATTGCACTTCTTCTTTGGAGATTTATGAGTGACAGGGTTCCCCTTGGGGGGTTCCGAGCGTATTCTGCACATCTCGTATGATGTTTTTCCCTTAGGAAGTTGGCGAGTGCCAGGGTCCCCCTTGAGGGACTCCGGGCGTGTTCTGCACATCCCTTAGGATGGTTTCCCTTAGGAAGTGGCGAGTGCCAGGGCCTCCCTTAAGAGGCTCCGGGCGTGTCCTGCACATCCCTTAGGATGGTTTCTTTTAGGAAGTTGGCGAGTGCCAGGGTCCCCCCTTGAGGGACTCCGGGCGTGTTCTGCACATCCCTTAGGATGGTTTCCCTTAGGAAGTTGGCGAGTGCCAGGGCCTCCCTTAAGAGGCTCCGGGCGTGTCCTGCACATCCCTTAGGATGGTTTCCCTTAGGAAGTTGGCGAGTGCCAGGGTCCCCCTTGAGGGACTCCGGGCGTGTCCTGCACATCCCTTAGGATGGTTTCCCTTAGGAAGTTGGCAAGTGCCTGGGCCCCCCTTAAGAGGCTCCGGGCGTGTCCTGCACATCCCTTAGGATGGTTTCCCTTAGGAAGTTGGCGAGTGCCAGGGCCCCCCTTAAGAGGCTCCGGGCGTATTCTGGACATCCCTTAGGATGCCTTGGTCGTCGCCCTGCGTCTCCCGAAGGACGCTGCTTATGGGCAACTGTGTGTCTATCCTGCCTCCCTTAGGAAACGGATAGGAACCTGGATACTTCCCGCAGAAGGCATGGAGACCTCCTTTTAAGAAATTCCTGGCGCACCCTGCGTCTCCCTTAGGACGCTTTTTACGGGCTGCGTCTCCCGAAGGACGCTTTGGTCGTCGCCCTGCGTCTCCCTTAGGACGCTGCTTATGGGCAACTGCGTGTCTATCCTGCCTCCCTTAGGAAACGGATAGGAACCTGGATACTTCCCGCAGAAGGCATGGAGACCTCCTTTTAAGAAATTCCTGGCGCACCCTGCGTCTCCCTTAGGACGCTTTTTACGGGCTGCGTCTCCCGAAGGACGCTTTGGTCGTCGCCCTGCGTCTCCCTTAGGACGCTGCTTATGGGCAACTGCTTGTGTTTTGTAGGCAGATAAGACATTTTGGAATGAGAAACTGAACTTATATTGATATTCATAAGATTACAGTCCTTTATTCGAAAATGAAAATAACTGAGTACAAAACTTGAAACTTCTAGTAGTCATGAGGAAGCATTATGGATAATACTTTCGGAGATGGTGAACATTCCATTGTCGTGGTATTTGCTTCCCATCCATGGTGTCCAATGTGTAGCTTCCTCTGCCCCCGGACCGGCTGATCACATAAGGGCCTTCCCAGTTGGGATTCATCTTTTTCGACCCTTGTCTTGGTGCGGTGATGAAAGCCTTTCTTAGCACGAGGTCGCCTGGTTGAAACTGTCTGACCTTAGCTCTTTTGTCGTAGTACGACTTCAACTGCTGCTGGTAGGAGGCGACTCGGATAATGGTCTTCTCACGTTCGCCCTCAAGTAGGTCAAGGTTGAGCCTCATTTGCTTGGAGTTCTGGTCAACACTGCCCACCTCGAGGTTTATAGAGGGGACTGTGATGTGAGGAGGGATGATTGCTTCCGTCCCATAGGCGAGGGAGAATGGGGTTTCACCAGTTGACCTTCGCTTGGTGGTGCGATAAGCCCATAGTACTCCAGGGAGTTCATCCACCCATTTTCCTTCGGCGCCTTCTAGCCTCTTCTTCAAGCAGTCCAATATGACTTTGTTGGATGCCTCGGCCTGCCCATTTCCTTGTGGATACCTCGGAGTTGACAGGTGTTGTTTGATCTTGTATTTCGCAAAGAAGGCGGTGATATGCTTGCCAATGAACTGTGAGCCATTATCAGTGACCAGCGATTGTGGGCAGCCAAATCGGCATATGATGTTTCTCCAGATGAATCGCTCCACATCGGCTTCTTTAGTAGAGGATAGAGCTTCAGCCTCGATCCATTTAGTGAAGTAGTCGGTGGCGACGATCATCATTTCTTTCTTGGCGGGCGCCGGTGGCAAGGGACCCACTAAGTCGATGGCCCATTGCATGAATGGCCATGGACTGTTTTGCGGATGATAAACTTCGGCAGGCAAATTAGGGAATCGGCTTGTACCGTTGGCAACGATCACACTTTTTGACATATTCAGCGGAGTCGTGGCGCATGGTAGGCCAGAAGTAGCCTATGTTTAGAGCCTTCTGGGCGAGTGACCTGCCCCCAGAGTGGTTGCCACACTCGCCGTCGTGAATTTTGCAGAGGACCTCAAGTGTTTGAGGGTATTTTATGCAGGTAAGGTGAGGGCCGGAGTATGATCTGCGGATGAGCTTGTTGTCGTGCATGTAGTATCTCGCGGCCTTCTGCTGGACCTTCCTAGCCTCGGACTTGTCCGCGGGTAGGTTTCCATTCACTAAGTAGTCATGATGGGGTCTTGCCAGCTGGGGTCTTCGTCAATTCGCATGGTGTTGATTGGCTCTACCTCTTCAATGCTTGGCCGGTCAAGGTGTTCGACTGGGATGGAGCGTCTGAACTGGGTATCCAACGCTGACCCTAGACTGGCTAGCGCATCTGCATGTGCGTTCTCTGCCCGGGGTACTTGTTGGATGGTGAAGGTAGGAAACGCCTTCAACAACTCCTGGACTTTGTCAAGGTACAAGATCATCCTTGGGTGCTTCGCCATGTATTCACCTGACGCTTGATTCGTGATCAGCTGGGAATCTGAGTAAATGGCTAGCTTCTTGATTGCGAGTTCCTTTGCCAAGCGCAGGCCGGCGAGCAATGCCTCGTATTCTGCCTCGTTGTTCGAGGCCGGGAATCCAAGCGTGATAGCTTGCTCCAACAAGGTTCCGTCTGGGGTGATGATGACGACACCCGCTCCAGCTCCTTTCTGGTTTGACGCTCCGTCTACCCGCAACTGCCACGTGTCTCTAGGTTGGCTAGGTTCAGCGGGGGTCCTGTCTGCTTTTGAACTTTCCTTCTTTTCGTTGACCATTTTCTCTTCTTCGGCCGATGGGGTGAACTCCGCTACGAAGTCAGCTAAAGCCTGGGCTTTTATTGCAGCTTTTGGCCGGTAGATGAGGTCATATTGGCTTAGCTCTATAGCCCACTTCATGAGTCGTTGAGAGGCATCAGGGCTATGAAGGATTGATCTCAAAGGAAAGTCGGTCATGACGATGACTCGATGAGCTTGGTAGTAGGGTCGTAGCTTTCTCGCAGAAACTACAAGAGCCAAAATGAGTTTCTCCAATTTTGGGTAACGAGTCTCTGCATCGAGGAGAGCTTTTGACGTGTAGAATACCGGATGTTGGGCCCCCAGCTCTTCTCTGATGAGAGCTGAGCTGACAGCTGAGTTGGACACTGCCAGGTACACGAACAAGTCCTCACCAGGGACTGGCTTTGAAAGCAGGGGAGGTGAAGTGAGATAAGCCTTGAGACTCTGGAAAGCTACTTCGCACTCCTCATCCCATTTGTCTCTTTGTCCTTTCTTCAAAGCTTTGAAGAATGGTTTGCACTTGTCGGTTGATCTTGAGAGGAACCGGTTGAGGGCCGCTGCTCTGCCCGTCAGACTTTGTATTTCCTTCACTGTGGAAGGCGACTTCATCTCTAGAATAGCTTTGATCTGACGTGGGTGTGCCTCGATACCTCGTTGTGTGACTAAGTATCCCAAGAATCGGCCGGAGGATACACCAAATGTGCATTTACTTGGGTTCAACTTCATGCGATACTGGCGGAGCAGGCTGAATGCCTCAGCGAGGTTTTTGAGGTGATCTGCACGTTTTGGGGCCTTGACCAGCATGTCGTCCACGTACACCTCCATAGTTTTGCCGATCTGCTCCTTGAAGATTTTGTTCACCAGTCTTTGGTAGGTTGCTCCGGCGTTTTTCAGCCCAAAAGGCATGACCTTGTAGCAGTAGGTCCCTCTCTCGATGATGAAAGAAGTTTTCGCCTTGTCATCCTCGTGCATCAAGATTTGGTTGTAGCCGGAGTAGGCGTCCATGAAGCTGAGTAGCTGATTGCCAGAAGTGGAATCCACTAGTTGGTCGATTCTTGGCAATGGGAAAGTTGTCTTTTGGGCACGCTTTGTTGAGGTCGGTGTAATCGACGCAAACTCTCCACTTTCCCTTCTCTTGTTTTGCCACTAGAACAACATTAGCGAGCCACTCCGAGTAGGAGACCTCTTCAATGAAGCCGGCGGCTAGGAGTTTATCAATCTCGGCTTCGATGATGGCGACCCGCTCGGGTGCGAAGTTGCGCCTCTTCTGCGCCACTGGTTTGCAGGCAGGGTTGACGTGGAGTCGGTGACATATGATGTTCGGGTCGATACCAGGCATGTCTGACGGCGACCATGCGAACATATCTTTGTTGTTCTGGAGGAAAGTGGTAAGTTCCACCTTCTCGTCTGGGCTTAGGCGCGAGCCGATCCGCGCTTTTTGTCTGGCTGGTCAGGATCCAAGGGTATTAACTCGATGTCCTCCTCGGGCTTCCATCCTTCTTCAAGAAAGACCTCTGGACGGATTTCCTCGGCTTGGTCCTGACGCTTTGATTGCTATAAGATAGCAAGGTTCGATTGTTCCACCTCCTTCAGATCTGCCTGGCTTACTGGGAGGAACTGCGCTTGCTTGCTTTTCTTCAGCCCTTGGGCGGAGCATTTCCTCGCCATTGCCTGATCGCTGTTGATTTGTCCAACACCGCCCCCAGGGATTGGGTACCGAATTTTCTGATGTGTGGCAGAGGTGATGGCGTTGATCATGCCGATCCATGGCCTGCCCAGAATGCCGTTGTAGGGTGAGACCTCATTAATGACCATGAACGTTTGCAAGCAGACTACAGGTGGGGAGTAGACGTCAAGGTCTATTGTGCCCACGGTAACCGTTGTTGCGCCATTGAAGCCGGTCAGCGATCTGGCTGATTTGTTGATCTTTGCCTCCAAGCCCATCTGCTGGATGACAGCCAGTTGCAAGATATTGGCTGCGCTGCCCTCGTCTGCATGGATTCGGTCGACCATGGCCTGAGCGATTTGTATGCTGATGACAAGGGCATCGTTATGTGGCATGTCGAGGCCGATCAGATCTTTCTTTTGGAAGCCGATTATAGGATCGTCTTCTGTTGGTAGAAGGTCAGTCGAGACTTGGGAGATCATAGTGGCCTGTTTGATCTTCCTCTTCTTTTCCTTGCTGGTCAGTCCTGACTCCTTGGCGTCGGCTAGGATTGTGTTAATCCTTATGACCTTCTGGGGCGGTTCCTTGGCGGTGTCTCGATCTTCAATCCGCTGGATGGCCTGCTTCGCGATGAACTCCGTGCAATGACCCTCTTTCACGAGTTCTTCAAGGTGTGCTTTCCAAGCGAGGCAGTTATTGGTAGTGTGCCCGTGTGTCCCATGGAAGGCACAGTACTTTGCTTGTATCCCTCTTGTCTGGATCTCCTTTCAAGGGTGGCGGTCTTCTTACCCAAGGTTTGTTTTTCACTTGGGCTAAGATTTGATGTATGGGGATGGTGAACTTGGTGTAGTTCTCTCCTGCTGTAGCGTCTCCTTGTGGGTGTGACCTGCGCCTATCCTTGTTCTTGTTGCTAAATCCATCGCTTCTTTGACCTGCCCGCTTAGTCGGTTGATCTTCATGCTTAGTAGACTTTTTTGCGGCGATTCGATCGTCATCCCAGAGCGCGTAGCGTTCCGCGGTCGCATAGACCTCTGCCAGAGTCTGGCTGGGAGTGATAGTCAGCTCGCGGTACAAGTCGTGTTCAGCTGGGAGGCCTTTCTTGAAAGCAGATGATGCGATCCGGTCGTCACATCCTACAATGTTGGCCTTTTCTGCTTTGAATCTCTTGATGTAATCTCGAAGGGATTCGTCGGACTTCTTGCGCAGGTTGTACAGGTGGTCAGGGTTCTTCTTGATCGTCCGGTAAGAGGTGTACTCTTTGGTGAAGACGTAAGCCAACTCCTTGAAGCTGTTGATCGACCCAGATGGCAGGGTGTGGAACCAATCTTGGGCTGCTCCTCGCAAGGTCACTACGAATACCTTGCACATCAACGCGTCGTCGGCCTTGTGGAGGATCATGACACTTTTGAAGTGTTTTAGGTGACTCTCGGGATCGGAGTCCCCTTTGAAGTGTGTAAACGAAGGGTGTGGAGAATCGCTTTGGGGGAGCAGCCTGCTCGATTTCGGCAGTGAAAGGTGTGGAGCTTGCATGGTCGATCTCCTTGCGTAGTGCATCGTCGAGGTTCCCACCAGTCTTCAGATCTCGAAGTCGGTCATTCATAAGCTTCTCGACGTCCTCTATGCACATTGTTGGTCGATCACGTTGGCGACCATCGCGATTCGGGCGACGTTGACTGACCTCCTCCTGGGTCTGCGAGTGTCGACCTTCTCGTCTGCGCTGCCTAGGCGGAGTGTTGGTGGACTGCGCTTGCGAGAGATTCTCCGTAGTTGGTCGACGAGAGCCGTCTCTTCGTGAGTGAGCAGCGGAGCGTCTTTCTTCGCGGTCCTCATTGTGAGGATTATCCGGTTGACCACCCTGGGGACGTAGCCTCTCGTGAATGTTCGTCTGCGAGTGGACAGCTGAGCGTCTTTCTTCACGATCCTCGTTGCGATGGTTGTCTGATTGTCCTCCCTGGGGGCGTAGCCTTTGAAGTACATTTCCCTGCGGTCCCAAGCGGGCGTGGACGTCAAGTCGTGGGCCTAGCCTCTCGCGCACGTTGTTCCTCGAACTTAATCTGCTCCGAGTGGGGCTCGCGGATGCTTGTGACATGTCGGTAGGCCGATCAAGTTGTTGTCCCTCGCCTTGTCTGCCTACTCCTGCTTGACCTGCTGGGTACCCGTTGAGTTGCCTGCCGGTGCGTTCGTCCATCCTTCTCTCTTCGCCTAGTTGTCCAAGGCCAAGGTTTTGAGCCAAGCTGATTTGGTGGAGGAGTTGCCTCATCAGATCGCTTTGGTCGTCCATTCTCTGAGCTAGCTGGTCAACTCTCAGACTAAGGTCTGCTTGACTTCGTGGATCAGGAGGAGAGAAGTGTGTGGAGCCCAATTGCACACGGGCTAGGGTTTCATTGGAGGTGTGCGCGGGAGCGTGTGTCGAGCGTGGAGGCAATGAAGGGATCGCTTGAAGTTGCTCCAAGATCGGGCCTAAGTCAGCGGTGGTAACAAGCCCACCTTGATAGGAGGTTCCACCATGTTCGGCGGCGGTGGCCGGTGCGGTGGTGAGAGGTGGTGGGGCCACCATGTCGATCGCGGGATCGTGGGCGGAGTGGCTTTGGGCCGTCGCGGATTTAGCCATCGCGGCGGTTTTGCCTCTCGTCTTCATGCTTCCAACCATGGTTGTTTGGAAGGCTTCGGTGGATTGGAAAATAGGAGGAACGGATTCCTTGAGCACGCGTTGAGTATAACTCGTGCTCTCAATGAAAGCACCAATTTGGAGGGAATGATTTTCCCCACGAGAATATTCGTCAAAGATTCCTTCGTCTTCTCCGCTTCTCTTTCTCTCTGCAAAACAGATCGGAGTAAAAGGACCACACCCGGGGGGTGTTGGCCAAAGGCCCTCCGATGCCTAAGTTAGGTAAGGTATTTCAAGGAAAACCGGGTGGCCGGAGCCGTGTGTGGTGGCCGGAGCCTTGTGTAAGGGAGAGAAAGAAAGTGGTGGCTAGGGTTTGTGAGAAATGATTTCTGCAGAGTTTCAGTAGGAATTTAGACGTACCTTCACCATTGTGTGTGGCTATGCTTTTATAATGGTCTTGGAGGCTAGGGTTTCAGAGGAATAATTCCGTAGATGGAAGGGAATTATTCCTCCCCTTTATGGAATTGATTTGATTAATTAGGGATTTGATTTATTAGGGTAAATCAAATCCCTAATTGTGGTAGGTATCAAATCAAATCCCTATTTCAATTAGGTAACTCCTCATTTAATTGAGAATCGGGGTAGGAATTAGGAATCAATTCTCAACCCAATTAGGTAGTCTTCAATTTAATTGGGTAACCCCCAATTAAATTGAGTAACTCCCAATTAGGTTGATTAATTCCCAATTAGGTCAAATAATCCCCAAATGGAATGAATTATTTGACCTAGGGTTTTGACTTAATTTGGTTACCACAGTAGGTAACAACATTTGCTTCAAACCCGACTCCCAAGCCAAGCATTTCATCCAGAAAACCACAAACCTCGTCAAGCTTTTCCCATTGCAGCATAACCCATTGATCAGTAATTATACGTAATCACATTGGGTTTCAAACCCTGCTTCCTTATTGCCTTGAACACCTTCATAGCTGCTGGCTGCTACATTCTCATCTTTACCGAACCCATAATCAAAGTAGTAAAAGTAATCTCATTCGGGCAAATGGTATCTGTCACCATCTCCTTCAAAATGGCTTTAGCTTTGTACATGTTTCCCAACCCACCCATTTGCAATATCCATCAATCAGAGTATTAAAAAGTAACCACATTTGGTAAAATGCCATAAGCCTTTGGCAACATCCTTTTCCTTGCTCAATTCTCCTCCTTATCACCTCTCTATACACGCAATCAACATACCCAAAACCCTTTTCCTTCAACAAAGCACTTAATAAAGGCTCACAAGACAAAACTGATAACTTGGACCCAGAATCACCAGCTCTCTGAAATGCTTCAAAACGCAAACGAATCTTCAAACTTCTCACATATGCCAGCACCAACATATAAATTATAATGGAATTTGCACAAAACTGGTTGCTTGCTACACATTGAAAGCATGTGAAATTTTGAAGAAACCGAATGCTTCTCATGTTTCTAACAAACCCATCTAAGAAAGCTATGATTTTTTTTTTTTTTTTTTTTTTTTTGCTTTCGCGATATTTTTTTAACTGAGTTCAAGATTGTGCAACATGTGAGCATCGTTGATGGTACCAGCTGAAGTACCTGAGTGCTAAGCTCTGGTCGGCTCCGGAGTGAAACAGTTGGCGAAGAAGTGCGGTAAAGTTTGAACCTTCGAGATAAGTTTTGAGCTCTGGCTAGTAGGGTTGTGTGGTTGGAACTTGTGGAGACGCAAATTGAGGAACAGAGAAGCCAACGACTCTGTTTGTTTGTCGGGAGAGTTTTAAGAAAAGTTTCTCGAGAAAATTCTGGCTTTTGGCACCAAATGAGCCTCGGGTTCCGTTACGTAGTTCTTCCACATAGCAGGGGCAATTTCGTCAAAGAAAAATAAACAAGGGTTTATGAAGGGCTTTAAGACACAGAAACATAATAAAAACCCGTCGCAGTTCAACCAGTTTTTAAGTTCTACAGCAATGGCGGTTCTTCTCTAACAGAGAACACACAACTGCTCCGCTAGGGCATCAAAAAGACCCAAACCCTGAATTCAATTTTCCATTTTTCATACAGTTTCAATCGATTCACCATTAACATATGCTGAAGCTTCTCTCTTCTTCCTCATCATGCCTCCAGGCCCGAGTGCACAGCCTGGGTCCCAATTTGGGCCTCCGTGCCGGGCCCACCGAGCTCGCCTCGCCATTTCTCCGAGTTCTTGGCTCGCTCACCGGGTTGACACGGCCTAATTCGTCTCGTCGAGCCTTTTTTTGCTCGGACGCGAGCGACGGGTCTGATCAGGTGGTGGAGGTTGAAGCAAAGAAAGCGGGAACGGAGGGCGAGGCCGAGTCGAAGTCTTCGTCAGCAATTGTGCCCACGAATCCTCGACCCGAAGATTATCTAACGGTTGGTTGGCTTTGGTGCTTTTGGTTTTGCTAAAGTAGTCTGTTTGGATATCAGAAAATGAAGGAAAATGTTAAGCTTATTGTTACTTGTTCCTATTTATCCTTTAACAATTTTTTTTCCTATTACCCATGAACAGGTTTTAGCTTTGCCATTGCCGCATAGACCACTCTTTCCAGGATTCTACATGCCAATTTATGTGAAGGTACAGGAGATTATTGAATACATTGAAAATCAAGTTGGCCTTTTGTTTAACACTTCTATGTGTTGGCATAGTTCGTTTCATTGTTGGGTCAATTCTGTAATTGCTGTTAATGCAAGGTGTTATAGAACAATGTTGATTTACTGAACTAACTTATGTATTGCTTTTCATGTAGGATCCTAAATTGTTGGCAGCTTTACAGGAAAGCCGAAAACGGCAAGCTCCATATGCCGGTGCTTTTCTTCTCAAGGATGAGCCAGGGACTGATCCTAGTGTGGTCTCGGGTTCTGAAACTGATAAAAGCATTTCTGACTTAAAAGGGAAAGAGTTATTTAATCGCCTGCATGAAGTCGGTACACTTGCCCAGGTGTCTCATTTACCCCTACGTTTTATAAGCCCTAATTCTGTGGATTAACTAGACATCAACCATAATGTCCCTTCAGCTTTTAACAGTTTTTTTTGCTTGTTTTTAGATTTCAAGCATTCAAGGAGACCAAGTAGTTCTTATTGGTCATAGGCGACTTCGAATTACAGAGATGGTGAGGAAAAATAATCAGTAAGAGTGAACTTTTGATTAATGCTTTTAAAGGCATATTTAGCATCTTTTTGCCTCATCACCTCATACATGTATAATATGAATATTTGTTTGAGATAAAGTTAGTTAAAATAAGCAAACTTATGGCTTGTCTACAGGTTGATGAGGATCCTCTGACTGTAAAAGTTGATCATCTCAAGGTCCACATTTTGTTTCATTTTACCAATTCAATTATTAATCTTTGGAGTTTCCACATATAAAGTATATTTTTCTTTCCCTTTTTCTTATGGGCTTACACGTTACATTGCAGGACAAACCCTATAACAAGGATGATGATGTAATAAAAGCAACATCATTTGAGGTTATATCTACTTTAAGAGATGTTCTGAAGACTAGTTCCCTTTGGAGAGATCATGTTCAAACATACACTCAGGTTTGCTCAGCCTCTCATGATATTTCAATTTTATGGCATCTTTGTTCTTGCATGCTCATTTGCTTCAAGACACATTTCTTTGCTCGCAACATGTGAAATTGTTTTGCCCTCTCATCTTGGTTTTTCCCTCTTTTTATTTAAATTTGTGCAGCATATAGGTGATTTTAATTTTCCAAGGTTAGCAGATTTTGGAGCTGCTATATCTGGTGCAAACAAGTTGCAATGCCAGCAAGTGCTTGAAGAGCTAGATGTAAGCATTGGTTAATCTTAACTCGGATGGCTGATAGGACTATTCAATCGTATTATATCGAGAACGCTTAACTCTGTAATTTTCGGTCAGGTTTATAAACGTTTAAAGCTCACACTGGAACTAGTGAAGAAAGAGATAGAAATCAGCAAGATTCAGGTATGTCATCCCAATATGCCACTTGTTTCTCCACCGTATTTTGATTCTCTTTTGTTAATTCCTCCTTTTTATTTCTTTTTTTTTCATACTTAGGAATCTATTGCAAAAGCAATTGAAGAGAAGATAAGTGGTGAACAGCGCCGCTACTTGTTGAATGAGCAGCTTAAAGCCATAAAGAAGGTATTTGTCTTCACCATCATCGGACATATTTTCTATGCCATACCCTCAATGACAGTGTCTGATAATTTATCAATGATCTGTTCTCTTTGTGGTGGGTTTTGTATCAGTTTCTTTATCTCGCCCTTGTGGCTTGTTGGAACTTACTTGGCTTTACATGATGCAGGAACTGGGATTGGAAGCAGACGACAAAACAACACTTTCTGGTTAGTTAAAAGAAAAAATTATCCCTCTCGCAAACCTACATATTGTATCTGTGTATGTATGCATGCATGCTATATATATATTATTGTTGTCCCCGGCTTTTCAAAAGTCGAAGGCTTGTTACTTGACCAAATATCTGATCAAATAAGACTATATGTTAGGACCCCCTTATATTGTAATGGATGTTTGGTAGGACAAAATGATGTAGACATAGTGCATGGTCTGATCATATGGTGCATACAATTAAGGACTGAGAATGACTTCGTCTAATGTTAAGTTTTGTAACCATGTGCACATCATTGTTGTATGCTGTTGGTGTTTTCTCATCCTCAGTTTTAATCTGTGTATGCATGTATGTGAGAAACATTTATAAATTATTCTAAATATTGATTGATCGTGTATACCTAAAGGTAACTGTTGCATCATTTTTCTGATCCTGTGGTGCAGCAAAGTTCAGGGAGAGACTTGAACCAAACAGGGAAAAATGCCCACCTCATGTTTTGCAAGTTATAGAAGAAGAGCTCACAAAACTGCAGCTGTTGGAGGCCAGTTCAAGTGAATTTAATGTGACGCGTAATTACTTAGATTGGTTGACTTCCATTCCCTGGGGAAATTACAGGTTTTTGTGCTACCTCAATTTAGTAATTCAAACTGGAGGGATCTTTGAGATTCCAATATTTTG